TTGATCAATAACTGACACAGACAGTTATCTTAACCCTCAAGCCAAACTACAAACTCTATTTAAGAAAAAGAAAAGTCAAAAGTGATCATCGATCAATGATATTGAAGGTTAGCCTTATGAGAAGATTACGAACAGAGCACGTTATCCGAGATTTCGAACAGTTACTTTCAAAATCAGAAGGATGTGGGAGCTATAGCAATGAGTGCCTTGTTTCGTCGTTAACTACACATGACTGCTTAGCACACTGCTCACATGGAAAATAAAAAACAACTCTAGTACGTACAAGCACGACCGCGCAACAAATGCCGAAATGAAAAGAAATGAGAACGCGTGAACAACCGATCAACACGGAAGTCGCGTGCAACATGAAAACAAGTAAGCACGACCTTACTGTTTCTTCGTGATAGGTAAATGAAGAAAAGAAAAATAAAGAAGATTTTTCCTTTCTCCTTCTCACGTTCGATTAAGCAGCCAGTGATGTGACGATGTTTATCAGAAAAGCTGAATGTCCAGCCATATTTGGTAATTTGTTTGTTTTGAAACAGAATATTGATTATAGTAATAGAGGTTAGTAGTGTAGTAGTAGTAGTGAGAGTAGGAGTTACGATAACTTCATAACAGCCTTAGTAAACATCAATGATGTCATTCTACTTGCTATAGAAGATTCTGAGAATTCGTAAATGGCCAGCCTATCGCTATCTTTGTACTGTTCTATATCAGAAAGCAACCTTTCTTCGCTCTCACACATATAACAGCAACAACAGCAACAGAACGAGACTGTATGGAGTGCTACTAGTGGAGTGTAGGTGTATGAGATAAGACATAGCTGTGAATGGAATGTTAAGTAGTATAGATGGAAAGTAACAAGAAGGAATGATGGGGGATGAGGATGGATGTTAGTCAATAACAGCTAACAACTACCAAGAATTGATTGTCTTTGAGCTATTTTGGAAGAAAAAATGAAAGGTTTTTGTCATTAAGATATTAAAGCACTTTTGATAAGGAAGAAGATAAGCCAAAATAAACATGATAAAGGTAGAACTGAAATAGACATAAAACAGAATTATCATCAAATGTACCTGGTTTTTCTTTTGTTATTTTCCGTCTCAACAATCCTTTTTTCTTAATATTTCCTCGAATTTATGACTTTTCCATTCCGCTTTTTCTGAGATAATTGGCATGTTGATGAACAATGAGATCTATAGAGACTACTCACCTTCTTCCTTCTCCTCCTTCTTCTCTCTTCCGCCGTCTTCCTCGTCTTTTGTATTCGTTACTACTTACTATCATCAATCATCCATACTGTCTTCTGTCTAATGATTGTCAACACTTCATGTAAACTAATAGTGCTCAAACCTTCTACAAGTTGCATTTCCCTATCACGGAAGCTTGTATATCATCAAAGCATCTCTTATCATCTCTTTTTTTTTCGACCATCTTCATCCTAAAGGGTATTTGATCAAAAATTATTATGTTCTCTCTCTCTTCGTCTCGCTCTCTCTCTATCTATCTAGTAACTTCCTATCGATAAAGCAAAATCAGATTCTACTTTGTGCTTTGCAACCTATTCGGATATCTCTAATACAACTTGTCCTCACACAACAGTAGCCCGCTGCTTGTATACCGAACTGTTACAGATATGATAGCACCGCCAACGCGGCGACCTCTCCGAAAAGTTGATGATTTCTTCGAGCTTGATTGTTTCCAGCTTATAGTGCTACTATTCAATGAATTCCTCATATATACTATGCTCTCTAATATGGTAATGAAGCCACAACACATTCCTTAGACTAGCAATGAGTGAAAACTTATTTACTGCAGCTTTCTTTCAATCTCTGATAACGTTTTATCAGAGAACTCGAAGTGAAAAGAAAAACAAATTTAAACAATGAATGATGCAGAGTATCAATCTCTGTCTTCCAGGTTTTCAATATCTTCGGGATATCCAAAGCCGAGCTTAGAGGATGTGATGATGAGATCTTCAATGGTACTATTGCTGAACGATGTAATTACTTCTTGAATACAAACTGTACTAAGCCAATCGTTCACTATGAATTCCAATCAACTGTCGCTGAGGTTTGTTCAACGACAGCAAACTTAACTTGTTTTTAGTTTGAATTGTACTGTCCAGCGAGACAAGAGACGTATTTGGGGAGCATCATGGCTTCTATGGGAGTTGTAAACAGAGCTAAATTCAGTACGACTATACAGATGATTGGAATTATTATCGGCTCGGCAGCAGCCGGACAACTCTCAGATCTGTATGGTAGAAAGAAGGTGAGACAGTCAAGAAGTAAAGAGTCGTCTCCGAACTTTAAACACAACAGCTCAAAACGGATCATAAACTTGCGAATAAGGAGTTTCGGAAAAAGAAAAGAAGACGACTGATAACTGAACGAAACATTTCAGATAACACTCTCGTTCCTGATTTTGATTTTCGTAACTTCGTTCGTTTCCACCTTCTCCATCGACATGGATTTCTACATAATCATGCGTTTCCTTATTGGCTTAGCTGGAGGAGGACTTAACACGTAACTCTCAGAAGAAGAGTTACATTACATTGAAAATTAAGAGTGAGTGGTATTTACATTGTGGAAATGCTGCCAGCTAATCACCGTATATGGCTCTCAACTGTTATTACCTGGGCTCCGAACTACTTGTTATTTGCACTAATAGCTAAGCTGACAGGAACATGGAGGGGTCTCTCGTTCGTGAATAGCATGATCACACTTGCAGCCGTGTTCATTTGTGCTTTGTAAGTCAGTAGATGGTACTGTTCAAATAATGAATGTTCAGCCTACTCCCGGAGAGCCCTAAGTTTTTGGTTCAGAAACGAAGAGAACAAGACTTCCTGAAAGCATTGCTTTATGTCAATCGTTTCAAACGCACTCGAAATCAGGTTCTATCAGAATTCTGAGCAGCTATTCATCCCATCTTTCCCAGTACGCTGAAGAAGAGATCGAAGCTTTTGTGTTTGCGAATAAACTTCGTACACATGAAGAGAAACAGAAGAAGTATAGCTTCAGACACTTATACTCTAACAACCAGTTAGCTATCCGTACTATGGTTTGTTCTATTTCGATGTATGAGTATCAGCTGATTATGATATGAAGTCGATTTTTGAAGGTTCTCTCTGAGTTTTGTTACCTACGGGTTGATATTCAATTTGGATGTCATCAAAGGATCCATTTACCTCAATACTGCTTTCTCAGGAATGTTGCGATGGATTGTTGGAGCTACGGTTGGTTACTGAATAACAGCTCTGTGCATTTACTTCATTCCTTGAAGATTGCGCTCAGCGATCACTTTGGTCACAAGTATGTAGGACGTCGTCGATTGCATTATACAACCATGTCTGTAATAGCAACCTGTATGGCTTTGACGTTCGCAATTTATGCGACAGGTAGACCTACCGGCTCACAATCATTATCAATTTTCACGAATAGGAAGAGAAAAAGAGTTGGCAACCCTGATTCAGTGTCTAACCCTCTTTGCTTTCGGTACAACTGGTTCTCTGTTCCTACAAGTAGATTACATTGATTCTTCCTCCATAATCATACCTTCAGATTCTTATCGTTGCCTCTGAACTATTCCCTACCGGAGTTCGAAACTTAGCAGTGGCTAATATTAATGTCTGCGGTCGAATAGGAAATGTCTTCGGTCCTATGGTGTTCAGTCTAGTAAGATATACATAGGAGATCACACAAAGTTCAAACCTTACTTTCTCTTAGCCACCAGTGATAAGTGGATTGCCTTATATGATTATGTCAGCGCTGTGTTTCTTAGATGTAGGCTTATTCGCATTCTTCATCCCAGAGACGAAAGGTACCTTGATCGAATTGTTGTGATTTGAGGAGTCTCCTTGTAGGCGTTCCATTACCGAACGATATGCCAGCTGGAAGAAAAAAGAAAGAAGATGTGGCAATGGTGGAGCTGTTAAAGAAATGAATGGCAACCGACAAGACACACACTCTCTTACTGTCAAAGCTTTATGATTTGAAAACCTGGTGAACAGGTTGAACAAGTATAGACGACATGTTGAAATAGATATCATATCATCTCCTATATTTATCAACACATTCTACTATAGTATTTATGTAATAACATCATAATTAAGTTATTTTTAGCTTTTTTGAATCACAAAATAAAATTTTTTGAACAAAAACACCTTACATCAATGGAATTGAGTAAATGTCGGCGTTCTTTTGAAAATATGCAAATACCGCAATCACGTACATTTTTGGACTCATTGAGTCATTGTCGCTTCCTATCTTTATTATCTTGCCAGGCATAATCAGGTTGTAAATGAGAAAACAAGTATGATTGAATCACATACACGCAAGCTTATGACAGCCGATCTAGCACATCTTCAAAAGACGATAACCATCAGAAGAGATTGGGAAGCATTACTCAGCGGCTGCTGTGAGAGCGTTTGTTGGCTACATGCTTTTCCACGTGTTGTCATAAACGATTAAACTCATTCTTTGTAGTTAATACTTTGAAACTAACTATTCATGATAGAGAGAGAGAGCGAACGAGAAGAAGCTTATTTCGTACGAATTCATCATGCAGATATCAAACAATCACATATACTTCTCGCTTCTCTTATCAGTATGAATCTGATAATGTTGGTTGTACATCTAATGTTAGGGGCGTCACCTAGCAGTTCAAAATCACTTCATCTTTCCTCCCTTCCGAAGAAACCGTCCTTGTTCAAGCTCTTCTTTTGTAATCCAGCCGGTGGTTCATACCACATGCGCATTAACTTCTTAACAAGATAATTCTTGCTCATATTTAATCTTTAATTATCATTTGATAATTAAAACGTTTTCTCTTTCGACAGTAGCTTGCCAGTCAAGAATCTTTCCTTCTTCCTAGTTTATAACATGTTTAAGGTATGGCCAAACTATTTCTCTTTTTGTGCCTCCTGGCAGTATGTACTGCTTTGAGAACCTTGAAAGATCCTGTTGTTAAGAGGAGCAGAGTTCAAAAGCAGGCTAGAGGTATATATCTTTAACTAGATCACCATCTAACATCATGAACTCAGGATTGTTCGATGATAGCAATAATCCCAATTACAAAACAGATTTCTTTACTACCAAGATTGATCACTTCAGTTACACCAACTCTGACACATTCAAAATGAAGTGAGGATACTTCTGAAGACCGTCTCTATGATAGTTTCAGATATCTTTACAACAACACCTTCTACAAGCAAGGTGGACCAATCTTCTTCTACACAGGTAATGAAGGAGACGTTGAAGATTTCGCTGAAGCAACTGTATGTACATGTGCATCTGAACTTGAAGAGATATACCTTTGTAGGGAATCATTTTTGACTTGGCTCCTAAGTTCAATGCTGCTATCATCTTCGCCGAGCATCGTTTCTATGGATCTTCCATGCCTTTCGTCAATAACAATATTTCATACGAGGTATGATGGCTAGAAATGAAAAATATAAACAAACTCATTAAGTCATTGGATCATGTTGGATTGTTGACATCTCAACAAGCTCTTGCTGATTACGCTGACTTCCTTTTGTATCTCAAGGTAAAGCTTCCAGTACATCCTTCTACATCATACATATTCAGTCTCCAAACAGCACTTTCGAAGTGAAATTCCCATCTGACATCAAAATCATCGCTTTTGGTGGATCTTACGGAGGAATGTTATCAGCATGGATGAGAATGAAATATCCTCATATCATTGCAGGGTAAGAAAAATGCCATTTCAACTGTCATATAGTCATTATCAGAGCATGGGCCTCTTCTGCACCTCTTCTTTATTTCCGCGGAGCTGGAGTCGATGAAGGAGCATTCGATCATATCACAACAAGGTATGTCTGATTTAAAAAAAAGTAGAACAAAACAAAAAAAAACCTAAAAACAAGGTAATAAAAAAACCAAACAAACACATCTTACGAGCATTCCAACAGCTTATAGGTATGAACAGGAATGATTGATTACCGTAAGATAAAGAGACTCCAAATAGAAATGTATGACTGTACAGTAAACTCATTCAACCTCTTCAGAACATATGCTGAATCTGGATGTAACAACTTCATCATCCAAAACACATGGAAAGCTGTCCAAAATATGTCTTCAACACCAGAAGGTCGTGCCAAGCTTACCAATATCTACCATTTGGACCCTCCAATGACTGACGGTCCTACTGGTGCTGATAATCTCAATGGATTCATTCGGTTCGTTATTCATTGGAATGGTAATGAGTCATTTTGTTGTTCAGCGAAGCTATCGAGTACATGGCCATGACAGACTATCCCTATCCAACATCTTTCCTCGAGCCCATGCCAGGATACCCAGTTGTTGTGAGTTCAAGACTGTTCCAATCGGATGAATACAATTGATTTCTATTTATAGGCAGCTTGTTTGAATCTTAATGCTAAAGGAACTAACTTCACTGATGAACAGATTGTGACTTACATGTACCAAGCTGTTGGAGTATACTACAACTCTACCGGTTCGTTTATAGAAAGTCCATGAATTCGCATTGAATCCCCATATACATGCTTCGACGAAATATTTTTTGAAACGCACAGGGAATACAACCAGTTCTCTCGTCCGTACCGATGTGAAATGAAATATTTCACGTGAACTTCACGTATCTATCATGTATGTATCATCCGTGTGCGCATAACGAGTTTGAGATGACTCTTTTTCCACAATGATAGAATCAATCTTTGCTGAATGAATTTTAGTAGACAAAAAAAGATCATTCTAAAACATGATCCATAGCTGACCTAAATTCTTCAGGAACAGTTAAGAGCTATTGTATTGACCCAAGTAAATGCGGAGATCCAGGAACTTCAGGATTAGGCGATAACGGAGCCTTAGGATGGCCATGGCAGGTGGGTGAACGATGACATCAAACTAGAAACTAATATGATCTTCAGGAGTGTTCTGAGATTATCATTGACATGTGCGCTAAGGGCATGCCAAATGATTTCTTCTGGGATGAGTGCACAAAGGATAATATCGCAAATCTCGCTGATGGTTGCAAATACTATTTCTCATAGTATGGAATGATCTCTGAGATATTTGTAACCACTTGTGATTGTAGTTTGAAATGGACAACCAAAGTATGGAACGTTGATGCTGTAAAAACAACTTATGGATTTGATTTGAGCGGCACCAGCAACATTATCTTGACGTAAGAATGAGACAAACTGTTACAAGTCAATCATCATTTTCAGACAAGGTCGTTTGGACCCCTGGTCTGGTGGAGGATATCAGAAAAACAATACATCAGCCTCTCAAAGCCGTGGAATCTATGTTGTCGAAATTCCATCTTCTGCTCATCATTTGGATTTAAGAACTCCCAATTTCTGCGATCCTAACACAATCAGTTTTGCTAGATTCCAGGTAAATGTAGTGTGATCATTGGCACCACACAAGAGTATTTCAGATCGTAGACATCTTGAGCTATTTCGCTTTTGGAGGCTCATCACCTCCAACATTCCAAGACTTACCAAGTCTTCAACAAAGCAATTTCAATCAGTCCCAATGTAAATATATTCAACAAGGATACCCATGGGGACAGCGAAGGGTACAGTTTGCATGATACGTTACTTTGTGCATGTTCATGTCTTTTCAGGGATCCGCAGCAGGAACTCTTTCACTCACAGCCTTTATCGTCATGTTCTATTCAATTTTCAATTAGATACTAACAATTTAATTTAATGTTTTATTCAGGCATTTAAAATAATAAATACTATGTACTGATATGGGAACAACGGGTGGTTTGGTTGGGCAGAATAGAACATACCCTCCACGCCACATCCAACTTCAGCATTGGTTGAAGTTGAATGATCTCATAATTGTAGACTTGAAGAGGGTGTATGAGCGAGACAGATGGGATAAAAAACTTTCGAAGAATTTGAATTTGACAAAAAAAAGTAATTCGCCGCGACAGCCTCAACAACTGTACAATTCAATAAAAAATATACACAGTGGCACATGCTAACGAATTATTATGTATAGACGCGGTCAGAGACAACGTAAGAGCGAAACACACAACCTAGAAGTCTACCCATAAAAGAAAAAATCACAAGTTAACTGGATGAAACAATGCTATACAATATCGTTACGGGTTCTACTACAATACTCTTTAGCAAGAAGATGCTCTAGAAAAAACAACGTAACAGGCTGAGAATAAAGAAAACGACACGAAAACTTCTAGACGACAGCCGGTCCACGGCAGACACTGCTTCTAAGCACATATACAAGCCTAGAAGATCAGGACAAGTGGCAACGTTTGCTTACTAGGGAATCACATAGGGGACAAGGTGAACATTATATCTTTTTTATTAAATTTTTCTCATGTGCACAGATGAAAGGGAGAGGGATAGTTAATCTAGCTAAAAATGTCTACGGTCAAGACTATTAGAAGGCAGTTTGAAGACGCATAGAGCAAGAAGGCACAGAACGCTCCAACTCTTCTCCAAGACAACAAGGAGAGACGAGTCGATGAATGCATGTCTGATAAGAGCTTGGGAAATAAGACTAATGGAAGTTATTATTAAACGAATCTATGCGAAAGAAATGTGTGCGCTGTTCCGTAAGAGAGAGTTGTCTACTGTGGAATATAAATACAGAATTTGTATACAGTATGATAAAATATTAATAATAGAACATCTGATAGAGGATTATCTTTTTTTCAGCGAGGCAAGATCTAAGTCAGACATGTGTGTGGGTGTCATATTCGTCTCTATTAAAGGAATTTTGTCTTGGATTTCACCTCACTAGATTCTATTTTTCAGTCCCCATAAATCTTTAAAGGCACTAGAGATATTCTGAGCATTATAACATCCGAACGTTATTGAGAAAAGTATAATTCGAACTTGGTTTTTCTTAAAGGACAAGGCAGTCGAGATGAACTGGTCGAAAGAGGGAAAGAGGAAGGAAGAACACGAAAGGGACAGGCAATAAGAACATTTTGAAAAACACGAAAGAACTGTTCTGTTGCACATTCTAAAGAGAATCAAACGAACATTGAGCAGCAGCAAGTCTACCTCTGGACGTTTCAAGAATAATCATGAAGTTATCTACAGTTTTAAACATTTGAAAGTTCAAGATAGGTGATTCGCCAACTAGATACAGAGTAAGTAACATGGAAATATGGCTTCTTTTCGATCAGGAACTGTCAAGCAAGAGTAATGAACAGTCAAAGGAATCAATATCTCTCTCCATATCAAATTGATGGAACAGTTGGAGAGAGATGGTCTTAGTCTGAAGACTTTGAGAGAAGGAGAAGAATCATCACTAGCTCTCAAAGACTTCTGGACGAGCTTATGATTACAGAGCATCCAAGAGTGGTTGGGGTTCGACACTTCTCGACCACATGGGAAAGCTACGTGGTAATAAAACTTTATGAAATTTTGAAGACACAAGTTGTGACGAATAAATAGTTTTGGGCAACGAACTGAGACGGCGAGCGCACGAGCACATTATTTTTTGAGTTTATTACGCTTAAGAGAATTGAGTTGATATGAAAAGGAAGGAATTACTTACACGAATGCCACTGAGTAAGAACCTACGTCTAAACTCTTTGAAAGGGGGAGGAAAGGGGGAGAGAGAAGAGAAGAGGAAGAAAAATTAATAGTTAAAGAGTTATAAAACAAGAGGAAACACCATTCCAGGGTTAATCCGTTCTTCTCTACAGTGATGCGAAGTCAAATCGCGAAAAGGTAAAACAACTCAAGGGACTACTACATACACATAAAACCAACAAACTTGGTTGCACTAAGGCAGGAATGACTTGGTCAGACTAGGTCAACCACACCGAGAAACGACCACTAATCGACGAGACCGGTATTAAGGCAGGACGAGAGCACTACTAGAGACCAAAAATATTTTGTACATTTTGTTAATTTAACATTAACTTACCGCGAAGGCATGATGATGATGACTGATGATATAAGATGGTCGATAATGGATGATGAAAAATACTTTACAAAAATCTAAGCAACAAGTTGTTTTTGTCGATTATTACTAGGTATGTAATGTCCATTGAGTACACCCTAATATACACGTATTGGTTGTACGGAAAGCTTCTTCATGAATGTTACCTTCATTTTGAACATTTCATCACATGCTGAACGGAAAGCCTCATATATACTCGTCAGAGAACGAGAAGAAGCTAATGAAAGAGATCTTTCGAATATCTGGAAAGTTTGATTAAAAGTTTCGTATGCAAAGTTTGAGTGAGTGAGTGAGTGAGTGAGAGAGAGAGATGGATTTGATTGTTGCAGGAGGTTAATTTTGAAAAAGTGAAACTGAAAACATACCCTGGACAGCTGATGTGATAACGGGGAACTTTCAGGGAATGACTTATCAAATTGAACTACTGGTGAATCTAAGGGATATGACTGAGGCACAAGAACAAGTAGAGGGTGACAAGAGAGCTGAAAAGATGAGCGCTTAGTATGTCTTCTAATCATACACAAACCGTCAACGAATCGAAGGATATCACTACGTCCGGACTTCGGAAAGAAGGTGGTAAAGCATCTCTTTCAATCCTCCAGGGAATATTTTGAAGTTCGGAAGTAGCCGCAGGCGACAAGGTCCACTTCTTGCCACTGTCGAATAGGCAATCGATCTCCGATTTCTCACTCGAAGTCAGTTTATGTAGACTATCGTCTTCGTCGGTACTTGTGACTCGTCGCGAGAAACGACGAATGGCATTCAATTCACTAGCGGTTTGGAAGAAATTAGTTGCAGCAGGAATAATCTCTTCTGAAAAGAGGAAATTATTTTTGACACGACAGTACTCCTTACCTTTTCCGTTATCTAATCGAGCAGATTTCGCGGGTGGAGCGTCATCTGAGTCAACGGCCAAAGTTCTTTTTTCCGCTTTCACAGCCGTTGTTTCTTCAGATATTAACTTCATAATATCGTCAGGCACTCTTGAATAGTAAAAAACACAATAACAAGTACTATGACTGTAGACATACCGAACAAACTTATGCCTCACTACTCTCCAAGGATCATGAGCTTCACCATTTTTATTCAGTTCTGAATCTACAAAACGAAATGGAGATGCTCAGGAGAAACTTGTCAATCTCTTACTTGATGGCTTGAACTCAGACAAGTCCTTAGAAAGCTTCCTAACTTCGGTCATAACGTCATAGGATAAAGAATACTTTTCTAACACCCCTATCAGTTGTTCACGTACGATTGTCAGCAGTTTGAAGGTAACATCCCTTGAACAAAGGAAGGTGATGTAAAAGGACGAACAGTGTAAACAAGTACCTCTTAGCTTCGAAAATCTCCATAAGCTGAGTAAATCCTCTTGGCTTCGGACAGTTATCTAGAGTACACCTATCTCCGACTCGTTTGAGCTGTTCATAATATTTTTCCTTCATATCATTTTTGAGTTGTTCATACTCAGGATCAGAAGGACCTTTTTGAGCTACGGCTTCTGAAACATTTGGGATGAATTTTCAAAAAACAAAATGTCTACTTACGTGGATGCATAGAGTGACCATGCATCACCTGAGGAGAAGGAGCTGATCCGGGATTTAGATTTGGAAGAGAGGCAGGTGATCCCGACGTGGTAGAATTAGCAGCAAAAGCAGCAACTTGAGGACTAGGCATGGGTCTTTGAGAAGACGGAGGTGTTTGATTAACGGGTAGTGCTCCAGATCCAGAAGGAACTACAATTCCTGATGCGGATGGAGAAGACGCCATAGTTGTTTGAGCAGTAGGCATATTAGGAGCCATACTAGCCTGCATGGAATTTGGAGCTAAACGTCTCCTAGGCCTAAAGAAAAAATAAAGCTGATGTGAGATGCTTACGAAACTAACATAGCATGAGTTGGCTGATTTTGCGTATGCAAGGGAACACCAGGATGAGCCATTTGCGACATTGTCGTGTTTCCAGGTCCAGGATACATCCCATGCCCACGAGGAGGTCCCGGTGGGATCATTGATGGTCCTCCGCTATCTGTAAAATATGCGTTGAAACTTGGCAATACATTTAAAAACATTACATTGCTGCCCCATTCCTCGACTACCCATCTGTTGTACTTGTTGTTGATGTGGGTGCTGCTGTTGTTGTTGCTGCTGCTGCTGGGCTTGAGCTTGAGCTTGAGCATGAGCCTGTGCTTGAGCTTGCGCCTGGGCTTGAGCTTGGGCCTGAGCTTGTGCTTGAGCCTGAGCTTGTGCTTGAGCCTGAGCTTGTTGTTGCTGCTGCATCTGCATAGAAAAAAGGTCTTAATCAGGAACTGAAACAATTATACCTTAGACATATAACTCATATTCTTGGTTCGTTTCTCAGGAGCAGCTTCTTTTGGGATTGGTGCTTGTTGCTGCTGCTGCTGCTGCTGTTGTTGTTGCTGCTGCTGTTGTTGCTGATGTTGTTGCTGCTGCTGTTGTTGTTGTGATTTCCAATCATGAGGAAAACGTTGTTGACTATACCTAAATCAGCTAAGTAACAAGTACGTTGTATCAAGAACAATTACATTTCGTTTTGATTGACTCTCATATTTGGCATGTTTGAGCCAGACCCGTACATGTTCATCATTGAATGTTGGGCCATCATTCCTGGTTGTCCATATTGAGCTCTTTGCATGTTACCAGGAACATTAGGCATCATGGACGGTTGCATCATCTGAAATGAAACAAATGAATTGAAGTTGATATAGGAATAAAAAACCATGCGATGTTGTCCAGGATGGTTTTGTTGCATTGCCATATGAGGAGGCATCTGGTTTTGTGAGCCTTGTTGAACCATAGCTCCGCTCATTCCAGAGCCCATAGGAGGCTGACCATACTGTCCGGGTCCAGCCCCAGATGGATACATTATACACTATTAGAAATAAAAAGCAAAACCTGGGCACGGCTGGTCAAAACCCTATAAATAGATAGAAACATGAAATGAAGTTTGTGGGCCGGTAAAGGCTCAAGTATGAATGTATGGTCTGATGAACCAATCATAGTAAGAAAGCGAGAAGTTAATGTTCGAATAGATTCAACAAATAATAAAATACAACAATAACAATAACAACAATTTGTAATCTAAATTGAAACATATCTAACATCGTAACAATCACAAAACAATATTATGAACAAAACCTTGGCTCTTAAAGTTTGAACTTGGAGCCTCCGCTTGACACTTTTTCAGACTTCACTTTCTTCTTTTTCGTTGTTTTCTCTTTCAATTCCTAAAAAATAAGAGAAATATTGATTGAATACGAGAGAGACACTGAAGAACATACACTTTCTACAGTTTCTTGCAATTGATTGAAGAAGGTGCTACTCTTCATTTTCGTTTCTGTTGCTTCTCCGCTCTTTTCCTTCTTCTTCTTCTTCTTCTCATCATTGCCTTCCGTCTTATCTCCAACAATCGAGACCATCACTCTTAAATAGAGAAGAAATGCTCCCATGCTAATTTAAACTTAAATAGCTACCTCTGTCTGATCTTCTTCTTTCGTCTTTGACGCAACTTGTCTGTCTTTGTTCTCTCGTCATCGGCCTAAACGATTTGGAAATGAGCACATAGATAAGGAAAAGAAAAATTACCTTGATATCACCCTTTTCTCTCTTCTTCACTTCTTCTGGAGCTAACAATTGAGCATCGGTAGATGCCATCATTCCGACTTCTTCAACTCTAACAGCGTCCACATTAGTGACAACACGAATCTCAGGTCGAGCCTAAGGAATGTTCGAACGGATAAGAAAAAATAGCAAAAAAACACTGACCTCTGGAGGTGTAAACTCGAAGTGAGATAGGGCATCAATCAGATTGAACAGATCTTTCATTCTATTCTCAATAGCCTGATGAACTTCATTTGGCTTGTCTTTCTCCACTTGCTGGAAAAGAAAATGTTTTATGAACATTTTACACAATTTAACAAACCCCAGCTGCATTCTGATAATCCTTCTCATACACATCCGAAAGAGACTTTTTCATGCTCTCTCTCTCTTCGATCGGCTCATTTCTGTAGTCCTCAACACGCTCCTCAATCTTTTTCTTCCGTTGAACATCATCGAACACCTGAAATACACATTCGATTACAATATATCAAAACAGGAGAGAAAGGTACATTGTCTTTAATGCGCTGCAGAATGACGGATTCTAACTTCTCTGTGAAATCTTGTGTCACATCGGGTGCTATAAAAGTTTGCAATGGTTACGAAATATCAATGGATTACGACATTACCTCTTTTTAAACCGTAATCGTATTCGAGATGTTTTTCTAGAATTTCATTCTCGCTACGATCAGTAGCTTGCACTTCACCACTGAGTTCCCAAGTTTTTGGCTTAAGATTTTCCTCTTCTAATGTTTTGATCGTCTCTTTCAACTGAATAACAACTCATATGAGAAATGGAAGGATGACATCATGAACATACCTTCTTTAAGCTTCTCTTCAAGTTGGTTTGGGGCTCTTCTTCAGGCTGTTGGACTTCTCCCAGAAGTACAGGTAGAGCTTCAGTTGCATCGTTACCCTGCTCATCAGCCTCTGCCTCTTCTTCGCTCTCGGCTGCTTCCTCCTCGTCTTTCCAATGAACTGATTTCTTCTTTTTTGGTGCACTGTAAAATATGAACTCATGAACTTCAATCAATTATGAACATGATGAGAAAGTGACAAATGAATAATATAATCAAAAGTGGGACATGAACTTTTCCTAACGGCGTTACCTCATCTCATCTCCTTCCTCTCGAGACCGCTTCTTAGGTTTCTTTTCCTTTCTCGACCCGCTATCCGCAACTACATCTTGTAACTTGCCGAAGAAGTCTTCATATTTGTAATCAGCAGCTCCACCCCAGTCATCCTAGAAAAAACTTTCATACGAGGTGTCTCTTGAACTGATAGTACCTCTGCAGTGAGTAATAAACCATCATCATCCTCTTTCTCTTTTTCAGCCTCATCCAAGAACGCGTCCATTTCAGCAAGACTTAAACAACGGATATAACCAAGAGAAAATGATTTCAAACTAACTTGAAGAACTTGTCATCAACAGAGCTTTTGGGGAACTTTCTTTTCGGTTTAGCTGTCTCATCTTCATCATCATCTTCATCATCGTCTCCCCCTTCGTCATTATCAGAGAGTGGGTTGCCATCATCGTCTAATCCATGTTGCAGCTTTCTTTCGAGCTCGGCAAGATCTTCACCTCTGAAGCAGGAAAACGTGAAAAGTAGAATGAGATATCAAATCACTTTAGATTAAAGAGGTCAGTCTCTCCTTCTTCGTCGTCCAAATCTTCTTCTTCATCATCAAAATCCTCCTCATCATCAATTTCTTTCTCTTCTTCATCATCATCTTCATCATCATCACTGTCTGCTTCCAAAGCGCTACTATGCAGTTTGACTTCCTCGTGAAGGATATCCTGGAGACGAGCGAAGGTTACAATGAGAAATAAAAAGTGTTAACAGACTTTTAACTTGCTAAACTCTTTGAAGATCTGCTTGTTCTTGTGAGCGATGTGTTGCCATATGGTCTCCTCATCATCATTTATGAATCGATCACAAAGATCGTCAGGTCTCTTCTTCAGATGACATGTCCAAGAATATAGTTCCGAGAGTGAATTGGAAATAGTCTTTCCAGTTGCAGCAGGTCTGAAAGAATCACATAAGGTGAAAACAATGGAAAAAGATAAGGTTCAGTATCAAAACACTATTGATCGATAGATAGCGGGATGAAAATCGAAAGCATATGTCTAAAACGAACCTTTTAAATAGGCTTTTGAAAGTCAATTCAGGGTAGAAACTGTTTTGCTCATTCTCGTCGCCCTGCACTGGATCGACGAGATCTCCCTTGATGTCACTGTGGCTGGACAGTGCAGTCGCCTTCTTACCCTACAAGTAATTATGTCAATAATTTAAATTGAGGACAATGCATTATTAAACCACCTCGAACATATGAGAACACGCAAGAGAACATAAATATACATAGATTAAACATTATAGGCGAATCGGAGGACGATATACATTCGCTGTGAACTATCAAACATGAGAATGCAAGTGCACTAGTAGTTTCATTTTTTCTTGACTGACCCATCTCTCTCCGTCTCTCACCCAATCATATACTGTGGGGAATTTTGTATATTCAAAGCCGCCAATCGATTAAACAAATCAAATCAACACCTAAGCCAACATGAAAGGCAATCTCGGACATTGAGAAGCACATGAACTGCCCAATCTATGTACGAACTACATAGAGCTCTTGCAAAACATGGTCGAACGCTCAAAAGCTGAGTACCATTGTTGGAATTTAGAGATGGACCAAATATTAACTACAACAATATTAATCGATTATGACGGCAACAGAATAACTAAGTGAACCGGTTTCTTTTCTTCCGATCTACTACTTAACGTTTTGTAAACAACACATGCTTAGTAGATGAGAGAAATCATCCAGAAAGCATGAAAACGGCCATGATTTAAGTCCAAGAATGACGATAAAAGGAGAACAGTCTAATTGGTCATGTGAATAATCTTTGTTTCCTTTTCATCTTCGCCTCCATGTATCATGTTCTGCAGATCGATGAAAATCGATATGCAAAAGAAAAGCTGCAGAAGAACATGAAACGGGGAACTGAAGGCATATGATTAGTGTCGCATGATGAAGGTGTGTACGTGGTGAGCAAATCGCGCAAATGCAACAGGTTTTCAAGCAGGCACATAGAGCGAGCGGAAAGATTGAGTGTAGGGGTGAAAGTGAGAGACAGAAGAATAGACACCATCACTACCAACACGACCAACACCATCATCATCATCATCATCACCACCATCATCACCACCATCACTCTCACCAACGCTACTATCACAGCCACCGCTGCTGATGCTGCAGCATGCAGAAGCTGAAGCAGCAGCAGCATTTTATTCGCACCAACAATCTACGAACATCATAATTGACACATAACTGCAAAGTCTTTGATTGTCTCACATAATGTCAGTCATCCAACCCTGTTATATGAACGAAATTGCAAGAGCATAGTGATCACATAACACAAAGACTAAGCAACTTACTGATCTCATTTTCTATAACCATTCAATAGTTGATTGAACCGACGACCGATTTATTCGATCTCATATTTTATCAGCACCATCTTTAGAATTTGATGATGGTCAATTGATTGGCAGGTGAACCCAATACAAACATTCAGAAGAAACCAAACATATCTAGAAATCGCCGATCGATCGAGGCGGTCACTGTTATACAAAACCACATTTTCATACCATATAGGGGAGATACCGAAAAATCGTGCTTGAAGTACTTTACAACTATTGATATGCAGTTCATTAGAATGTTGCCCTCGCATTATAACTAGTTCATTTGATACTTTCGCATGAACCGCGCAAAAACGGTTCAGCTGAAAGGTCGAGTGCACTCAGGGCATAGTCGCCCACATGCGCGCACGATCTCTCAAATAGTCGGATAGCACCTTATACGCCGTATAAGACCATCAATATGTCATGAATATAGTAAAAAGCCAGAAAATATCTGTCACACTGACGAAACGTCTAGCCAGCGTTTAGTGTAAAAAATATTACTACATTTATAAAAAGAAGTGCAAGACTACGCCTGATCTACTTCCAAAACATAATATTGAGTTCAAAAAAAAACATAAACTACGCAAGCACCCTGATATAAAACATACGACCGTAAGCAAATACGGAAAACATGGTTGGAAAAAACCGGACACACTTCTAATGCATGAAAGGGGGAGAAGCAACATAGCTTCTCCCGTTCGATAACTCACATTCAATGTCACAACACGATTTCCAATGAATTGAAGAGAATTCGAACGTTTCAACTTCGTATCTGAGAGAATCCAATTCTTCAGATCAGTTAGATGATTTTAGATCAATTCAGATGCTATGCTATGTATGAATTATAAGATGAGTTCCTAGATTTCATACTAAACATGGAATGCATTTCCTTTGAAAGTCGAGAGCGATACAATTACTAATCTATAGCCTATTTCGCGGAACGCCGAGATGAAAAGCAAACGGTATAGGGGTAAACGGTGCAAATCAATTAGGTTAGTCTGTCGGTGCGTAATGTAGGATGTTCGGTAGGTTTGGTCAAACATAGCGAACACTACTTTGATTTCTACAAAATACATTCATCCCTAGTTGTGCGCTAATGAAGAGATTAGGCTAACTTAATGATAATTAGAAATACAGCAAGCCTGAGAGAAAGGGTTGCTGGATACCAGCACACACGAGAATTCAGTGGGCGGAACCTAGTCGTCAACGACGCCGACTGACTGAAAGAGGGTGTATCAAATCAAGAGTGACAGACTATATGCGCAGCATCAGAGACGCAGAAAAGCTCTCTCTTTCTATATACTAATAGCAAGCAATAAGGCTGGCACAGACACTCATGGTAGTCGATAATTCTTTTAAGAAAGACTTAAGTAATATGGAAAACAAAACAGGAATTGCAATACTAAATGTGGAAAACAAACCTTTTTATTTCTCTTCTGCTCATCAATTGTTTCTTCCTTATCCATCACATTCTCGATAGGCTGTTCATTTGATTTCTGTAAGTCAAGTCAAGTTCACAAAACTCAATTACATGATACGCCAACCTTCTTCTGAGATGATTTAAGTGTCTTCTTGCTAGGGGTTTTCTTGACTGGGGAAACCTTATTGATCTTGTCATCGCTACCATTCGCATTCTTTTCGGTTATAATTTCTCGCCGACTATCGAGCTCATTCCTCCTATTGACCGAAGCATCTCTAGAACTAGACTCAGATTCTGTTCGGTGCGCTGCATCAGTGCCAGTTCTTTTGGTTTGCTTGGATTTTGGCGTGGATTCTTCAATTGATGTTTCGTCAGCCTCAGCAGCTTCGGAGAGCAAGATGACACTTATATCGCTCTGAAAAAGTCAACAAAATAAAAAACAACGAAAACAACGAAAAACTACGTCAGGACTAGAGGGTTTCTCTCCTTGCTCACAAACCACTTGTGTTTGCACCTTAGTAGTATCAAAAGCAACAGTTGTGTCGTCAGACACTTTTGCACTCTGCAAACAACATCATAAAAATAGGAAAAAATGATTAGTTATCTCCGAAGTTAGGAGATATTCATTCATTTCCTAGCTCAATCAGTCATTACAGTTTAACACTACCCTCTAGATTTTCTTAAATTTCTATTCCGGGATATCCAAAATGTGAACACTTGTTTGATATCGAATACAACACTTTCATTCATTTTTCGCTTGATCGAAAGATTGGAACACCGTTCTTTCCTTTGGAGGGGTAGAAAAAACGGGGCAGATGTATGCGGAACTAGAAAAACAAAAATCCCTACCTTACTCGAAGAATCTACCATTTCATCTCCCAGAGGCTAAAAAGAAAACGTTACAATGAACTCATGATCGTAACTAACTATTGGCTCCCAATCCATTGCATCATCGCTATCGAGTACAACTTCCTCAACCTGAGTTTTCTGAGGAGACTTTTGAGGAGTCTTCTGTGGTGACTTGTGAGGAGTTTTCTGTGGTGACTTTGGAGGAGTCTTCTGTGCTGACTTTTGAGGAGTCTTCTGTGCTGACTGTGGGGGAGTCTTCTGTGCTGACTTTTGAGGAGTCTTCTGTGCTGATTTTTGGGGAGTCTTCTGTGCTGACTTTTGAGGAGTTTTCTCTGGTGACTTTGGAAGAGTCTCCTGTTGATTCTCCTCAGAAGACTTCTGGGCAACTTTCTCGGGAGTCTTTTGAGGGCTCTTTTCTGATGACTTTTGTGGAGTTTTCTTGGGACTTTTCATTTGTGATGTTGGTTCCTGAAATTTGGACTACTTATTGTAACTCAAACGTTTTCTTTACCGTTTCCGCAACCGACTCTGGGGGTGAGTCGACGATGGGAGTGAATAAACTCTTTGTTAAATTTTTGACGATTAATGCATTTCTGTTTTTGGCTGGAGTTCTAATTGGAGAAACTGAACAGAATATCAAACATATATGTGTATCAAAAAACAACTTACTTTCTCTATCTACTAGGACGAAATCATTATCAGTTATGTCAAGCACCTCCTATAAATTAGAATAATTAAAACAACTCGGATAAGTGTTACCTCATCTCCAGTATTCTTCTTTCTCATAGATCTAGTTACTCTCGAAGGGCTTCCCTGTAACAAAGAGTATAATACCAACAATAAAAAATAGATTGTGCTACCTGAGAGCATGGGACAACATCATCGCTTTCATCGATTATGTCGAGTTCCACAACCGCCTAAATTTCTTTTCGTAAGCATAAGGATTAAGAGGACTTACATTAGCTCGACTCTTCCTACGAGACTCTTTAGTTGGAGTTTCAGAGCCTTTGCTTGGAGTTCTGAAAACGGAATTATCCAAGATATCCGTTACATCGGAAAGGACTGATCCACTCTATAAACCAAGTATATAACGCTTTATAAAATATAAGTTCTACAAGAGTGGAACAAAAACTAAAATTGACTTGAAAAATAGATGAATTAAAAAAATGAAAAGGAAATGCTGAGCGGTGAAATATGAAAACGAAAAAGATTGAACGGGAGGTCAGGAATGACATGAATATATTGGAAACGGAATATTAAAATACTAACCCTGGTTATACTTCGTGTTCTCGGTCGAGTTCCAGCTAGTTCACTAGGTGTGGGTGATGAGGATGTTGCTTTACTCTGAAAAGAAAAAAAATATAAAGCGTAAAATTGCGTTTTCAACTTTGGCTGCTGCTCGGCTTTTAGGCACACTTTCAACTGCTTGTGAATCCTTCTTTGGAGCAGCTTTTCTACCCTGAAAGCAATAATGAGACAAACTGTTTCTATCTAAAGTACCCTGGTTGGTGTGTTTTTCTTAGACTGAGAAGTTGATTCACTGAAACAACATGAGCTTGATTGTTAATTGGAAATATTCATGACTTACACACTGTCTGTCGAAGCTGCAGAAGCAGTACGGCTCAAACTGGGAATTCCAGTGTTTGTCTTAACATGAATTATAAATACAGAATCATTAATATCAATATACCTTAGCTGCTAAACGAGTCGATGTTCTTCTCGTTGACTCGTTCGAGGTCTGCGAATCGCTTCTCTCGGGCACACTTTCTTTACCCGTCGGCCTAGGAATTTTCGAAGGCATCGCTTAAAATGTTAGCTATCAATATTCAGTTGTTTTAAGTATTAAAAAAATTTTTAAAATTTAGAAGCTTCAAAAGCAGCACAGTTCACGTCCCAAATTTGAAGTTTGAATAATTATGCCGAACGGGGTTTCGAGATGACGCGTAAACAGCGTACAAGCCAATCTTCTTGGAAACTGTATGGGGACAACATGCGTTCAATGACAACATCGACTATTCATTTTTTCTCACTCATTAAATTATCATTTTATAATATTTCAAGTTTTCATTTCAGTATGTATTCCGCAACACGAACACACAGAGCTGAAACCAGAAATAGAACCAAAGATGAGCTCAGAAAAGTAATACATTCGATTGAAAAAGTGCGTAAATGGGAAAAGAAGTGGGTTCTCATCAAGGATACTTCTATCAAAATTCAAAAATGGGTGCCAGGTATTGTATCTCATCAAATGAACATGTTCATAAGACCTTATTAAGTGACTGCCCAAATGAGCATAGCTCCTAAAGTTGTAAAGCCTCTAGCTGAAGAGGAAAACAGTAACACTACTCAATCAGCCGAGGATAATTCACAAGGTACACTCACATCATCGAGGGATCATCTTATATCTCTTTGCCAGACTCAACCAACCCAATTGCTCCCCTATTCGGAGCTAATGAAGACTCAAACACTGGTTTCTCTGAGCCCGATCATACTACGTTTGACAGCGACTCCAATCAAACATTCGAACCCCAAGTAATATGAATTAGCCTAATACTCACATCGATTCCTCATTTAGGCGTATCCTAATGCTCAACACGGCTCAACGGATTTCAGTGCTCTAAGAAATTCGGAACTACAAAAATAAGTAATGCTGGATGAGCGTGAATACCTTAATGCTTAATCCTAACTGATCTCTCTCGTAATTTTGTATGCAATCCAAATATTTTAACCTAATATTAAAAGGTATCATTACTAGCAACCTTTGTAAAGTTTGATGGCAATAAAAGTTTGACGATATAAAGCTTGTTTGAGGAATAGACTGACTCGTATAGGTCTGCAATGCTTTCTCATACGCTCGAAAATCTTGAAAGTGAAATGAAAGAATGTTTAAAGTCTATATATAGGAAAACCTGTATGATCAAAACTCGACGAAAAAGATCAATGAGTTTACAGGCTGATGAAAAGCAACTACTGCTTGCAGGATAAAGAATAGTGAAAGTAGCTGTGACTCAGTAAAAACGTATGAAACTACAGATTTCGAAGTCAATAAGGAGATTATAGTTTCTGTAACAACATATTGAGTAAGAAGAATTGTCTACAAGATGACCATACACTTTCTAAATTTGGAATTCTCTTCTTCACTGTCACTTTCGTTTGATTAATCTTTCTGCACATTTGGTTGGAAAGCAATAAAGTCTGGACTATCATAGAAGGAAAGTGATGTACGTTAAGTCAGATATGTGATATTACCTTTTGTCAATACATTTGTTTACAGAAGAAACCATTCACGACTTCTGAATAGGGGAGAGACAGAGACAGAGAGAGAGAGAGAGAAAGAGAAATTGGCTATGAAGACTGGGTGGTGGGAAAAAAAGTAAAATAAGAGAAAGAAGAATAGATTCTTACTTGATGCTCTCTATCTCTAAATTACTCATTCAGATAGACGTTCAATTGATATTGGAGTGTCTTGTTACATCTGAATTATGTGAATTAGAGAGAGAGACAGAAGATTCATGCATCGAATCAATAGTAATTACCATAATCGGTCAGTTATGTGAGTTCGCGATGATGGTCGATTGTATATAAACAGAAAAATTTCTGATTATCATAGCTGAAATAGAAATAGACTTTTAAGGCTGTGAGAGAGTCGATGATGTGTATATTTCAAGCAAAAAAAAATGTGTTTGGATTTCTGTAAAGCACGAAAGCTTCTTGTCAACACTGTGTCATGTGTGCTGATGTGTTAATCATTAGCGACTGAAAACTATAGACATAACTCTAAGGATCGCCTGCCGCACAGTGGGGTCAGATCAGATTCTTTACTTCGCAATGCTTTGGCCTTCGGATCAGCCGGTGCCATGCAGTCCGCGGCTTCCTGTTCTTTTCCTATCGGACCATGGCTAACGGTGATGAGTATGTGACCTTCATAAAAACGTCCTAGACCTGATAAGGAGCGGCAGTAGATATTTCATATAAGTTATATAAAAACAATCTGTCTTTGTTTAGGTACATGAGTACACAGATGTACGTAGAGGAAGGCGAAGTAGAAAAAAAAATGAAATTCTCCTTCCTCAATTGATAGAACGGATGATGCTTCAAAGTTCGGAAAACAGCGAAAAGGCTTGTCTTCCCTTTTGTTTTGTGGAACCAAATTCAATACAGAACTGGCAAATAAGAAAACGGTCTCATTCTTACGCGTTCTCCCAGCAGCCCTCCTCTTCTTTTTTTTTGCTTGTTATGGCAAATTTAATTTAACAGGTTTGATTCGAGTGTCAGTTCAGACTATATAAACACACACACATCATATATGTATACTCATACACATATGCTGCTGGTGGCGCCGCTGCCATTAGGGAATGAACAGAACTCCGTAACATTGACGGAACATACGTAACGTACTGATATGTTAGAGGTGACGGTTTGAATTGACAGTTGGCATATTGCAATTGAGCGAATGACAGCACATCGACCAATGAAACAGCTCCAAAATGGAACAAAATTGAAATGTGATGATGTAAAGTTCATATTCATACCATCTAAGAAAAGATTTGTTGTAAGCCTTTGTGTCAGTGTGATCAATACATGTTGCGTTCAATGAATTGTGGACTGAAATGCAAATTGAGTTGATAAAGTTTTAGAATTGAAAATGAAATGATTTACTTCTATTTAAGATCATGTGATAGAGACTAGTAACTGAGCAAACCAATACACCTGTATTGGCTAAGAACTTATCAAAACATAACGAAACATCCTCTGACTGAAATCAAGGGACATTTGTTAAAGAACCATGATATGAGTAACTCACTAGAGATGATGTTTTGTGAAAAAAAGAAATTTTTTTTTATTGTGAATGAAACTCCTTTTCATTATCGATTCATACAGTTTGCATCTGGAACAGAATGAAGTCTTGATCAGAGACAGGCAGAGTCGACCGCACAGCTTGTTCAAACGGTTACAAAATAAATTTCACGTGGTTTACTTTTACGTCAATTGACAAGACTGGCGCCAAATCTATATTTGAAATCATTTCACAACACCCATTCGTTCCCTCCAAATAGATCGAAAACTTTTTCTTTGCGTCTGTCTCTGATTGTTTGAGAAAAGGAAATGGTATGAATGTAGTATTGCATGTTTGAAATGTGAGATAAGTTAAGAAGAACAGTATCTTCTCTTATCCAAAAGAAAACTGATAGAAGGTTGTCCAGTTCGAGACCCGTACTATCATGGATTGTTTCAGAAACCCAATGTTTGTCTTCCGACACTTTCGCTTTATCCTAATAACTGATCTCGGAACATTCTCTCCTTCCCATTGCAAGAAGGAAACAATCGCATTGAAGATGTACAACATGCTGCATGCATGATCGGTCGGTGGTAGTCAATCAGGGTACAAGGCAGTAACTGCTCGAGACCATTGCCAATCTGCATCTCTGTCTCTGTCTCAGGGGTTAAAATGGAGGAAAACTATAGAAATTCGTCTCATTCATTCTCCAAACAATAAGATGATGGTTGTCTCAACATTTGAATCGGAGAACCAAATCGAGAAATATTTCAGATTTTTGAAGATGAAAATCAGTAATTCTCCTCATCCAACGTTTCAACAGCCACAGCCTCACAATAGTTGAGCGAAATGGGATGGTGAGGAGTGACATCCAAACCGATCTGTATCTTTTGCATATCCATATATGTAGATTTAAGAAAAGACCGAAAGAGTTTGAAGATATGGGAGAGATAATGAGAGAGGAAGAGAAAGAGAATGAATCTCTCTTGATCTTCCAAATTCATGTCCTGTCTGAAGTTTTGAATGGTTTTAAACGTTTTGCCCATTTCCTGCGAAATGTTAAATAATCCAAATATGTAGAGACAATCCTTTTCATGCTCTCATCAAATCCATTTTTCATTTCAGTCAATCTGTTAAGAGAGAGAGAGGAGCTGCCATACCATTCCTCTCTCTCTCTCTTTCTCTCTCTCTCTCTTGTAATTACGACGCGAATTTGAATATTTCGTTTATGATATAGCACATTAATAATAATGAATTATAGAGGACGTAGTTGATAGTTTTTCAAGATTAGAATGAGTTATTACTAACCTCTTTATCGCCTTGTATACATCTTCTGACACCCATCTATCTCATACCTGTTATTCCATATACAGCATACTTACAACATATACTCATATGGCACAGCTTTTCCATTTCAACTTTCTTCACTCACATTCACACTCTCACACAGTCTACTCAACACTCGTACTATGTTAGATGACTTCTGAAAAACGTCAACACAAAAAGCTTCTCGCTATCTAGCAGATGTGTCATATCGGCATCCTTTCATTTCCAATCTGCAGTTAAATATATACTTCTTGCCATTTGCTAGTTCAGATATTGAATGAACAATGGTGCATTGTATTAAAGATTGAAAACAGTCACTTGCGAGAGTCTACACAACAGAGAGTGAGGAAGAGGAATGAAGGCGACGATAAAGATAATGGCACTAGCTTCGGCGAAACGCTTTTCATGATATAATAGCTTATCGCTGGCCATGTTGTGCGCATCAGCGTGAGAATACGAAAAAAAAAAGTATTTTTGACTAAGCGTTATTCGCACGTCAATCACGTCCGTCACGTACACATACTCATGCTCACGTACACATCAGCCATAGATCAAGACAGTAGCACATGTATGACTACTAACTATAACTCTGATCATCATCGTCTGTCTGTATCAGGAGGCTTGTGTATTCGTATATCTAGGTCATAGTTTAGAACATATAAAATTTATAATATTTGCTCACAAACTTATATATTTTATCGCTTTTGTATGTATGGATTTCTAAGCATAATCTTGTTCAGAGGATTATTCATAGTTAGAACGCAAATCCATTCTATTCGACTGTTTTTGTACTCTCTCTCTCTCTTCTTCTGCATCAAGCAGACGACCACAGAAAAAAAAATGAAAAAGAAGCATTTTTGTGTCCGTCATCTGGCCTCTATCCATCCTCCCTTTCCCCCCCCCCCCCCCCCCCCCCCCCGCCAACCCCAGCTCCCCCTCGCCCCCCCCCCTCCCCTACCCCCACCCCACCTTACCCTCAATCACTACAC